CTTTCCTTCAGATGTTTGGGACAAAAATAGCCAAATTCCTGAGGTCAAATGTAGGTCACAGGGTCGAATAGAGTAAAAACTGTAAATTGACCCAAATTTTGTCTGGTGGTTCCAAAATTATGGTTAATTTTGAGAAATATTGAAAAATAAAAAATTGCTGCAAAAAATGTTAGCAAGAAAGTTATTATATTATCCAGGCATGACCTAATACTTATGTTGAGCATTCTTACCATTCATTATTTATAGAATACCTCTGTTAACACCTCTGTGATTTGTATAAATGCTACGGATATGGATGAAGGACCAGAAGGTGTCATAGTACGGTATGGAATTCTTGCTGTCGGTGGTTACACTAGGAATGGGCTAGATAAATTTACTATCAACGAGACATCAGGTGAAATATTCACTGCAGACACATTTGACTTTGATGAAGCAGGGGAACGATATTATCAGGTACTCATTTTTCTTACCTTGTCTGTATCATTGTAGATTGGCAAACTATATACATATGTTGAATTTCACATAAATTGTCTTTTTCTTGTGATTACAATAACTGACAGTAAAACTAATACACTGTGGAATGCAGATTGTGTTTGTTCTAATGTTTTTTCTTGCCCATCGTGAGTTACTAGTACCCTGGTCTAGTTATTTGTAGTAAAACATGTGGTATGTTTATACTGCAATGGTAGAATATAATACAATGTATAGTAGAATTGTAAAATAGAATAAATTGAAATAGACAAGAATAGAATATGCTTTATTAAACTGAGGATGCTTATGTTTTAGTACATACATGTAACCCTGCTATAAAGTTTATCCATTGATCCTATTTCTCATATTTCTAATATTTGTGTTGATTATGACTCAGGATGCTAAATGGTGGGTACGTGCCACATGCTTGTCTTTTTTTGAAACACCTGACTTTACTTCACTTCACTTTCTCAGATTTGTTCATTTCGTGATGATATCTTTAATTCTTTAATTTTGGTGAATATTTTTGTCATTTTTGGTAATAAGTGATATTTTCGCTTTCTTGTTTAAACCACAAGTCTGATTGCTTTCATATTATGCATATAAGTACTACAGGTAGACCTCTCTCAGATTTGTTCATTTCATGATACGTTGTATGTTCAATTCTCTAATTTTGATGAATATTTTTGTCATTTTTGATAAAAAAGAATATTTTTGACTTCTTGCTAAAAATCGCCAGTCTGATTGCATTGATATTTTACATATAGGTACCTCAGATATACCTCTCCCAGATTTGTTCATTTTGTGATGATATTGCTAACTGCCAAACTATCTCAG